ACGAGGGACGATACACGATGGGTGAAGAACGATAAATACAAGCGCGACGTACGAGGGATGATGAATGGACGGTGGACAACGTGTTAGTTGGGATGGAGGAAACACAATGGACAACCCATGAACGGACGACAAGTGGACCGTCGATAGACAAAGAAAAGATATGGAATGGAGCAGAGGCACTAGACGAAAGATTATGGACGAAGACATCACTTAAGAAAGAGGCATAAAAGAGGATGGCAAATGAGCGATAGACGAAGCCCACGATGGAGGAAAGAGAATACACGACGCAAGGCACCCGATCCGGGCCTTGGCAACGCAATAGCTACACTTAAGCTCGGCTCGAGTCCGGTGTATCCAAGGCCGGAAGGGGAGGCGTGAGGCAAGGGGAACTTGGGAACGGGCTATGTCTACTCCCCGATTCCACCCGACTGGCTACATGCACGGACGACCGACTACGTGCGTGTGTGCGTGTGTGTGTGTGTAGAACAGGCTCCTGGACGGCTGCAATCATGGCAACTGAATCGTTGAGAGTAGTAGTGCGACATGTTAAAGAAGACACTGTTTGCCCCCTCGGCCATTGCTCCTTTCCCTTTTGTTCCCATTCTTCAGTCGAGTGAAGAGGCGAAGCAAGTATGGGCTAATCGATTGGCGGTGAGGAGGAACAACTTGGCGACCAAATCAATGCCAGACTTGTAGAACTAGTCGACTAAACTAGCGGCACATGACAACTTGACGAAAACAAGCTCAACTCTCTTGCAGATTTTGACGAGAGCCAGGCCATATCGACCAGCCCTCGGGTTGCCATGACTCAAATGGCGGTGGACGGATGGGGATGGAGAGGAAGAGCATACCCGGGAGGTAGCGGAGGCCGAGCCAAATGGCGGGCGGCATGTTGGCGTGATGGAAGACGTGGAGAAAGGTGACCTGGTCCACTTTGCCGCGCCAGAGGAAGAAGGCGGTGTCGGAGAATTCGATGATTTTGGAGAAATAGAAGAACCAGCCGAGCTGAATGAGTCGTCGGAAGTCGGGCGAATCGGTGTAGGTGTAGTCGGTGCATTTGAGGCCGTAGCCAAGTCGATGCGCGACGAAGATACACTCCTTCAGAACGTAGGCGTTGTAGACAACCATCGCGGCGTTGTAGCCCACAATGGGGAGCATGCTCTGGCCCCCTGCGCCTCCGACGCCAGCACCGACGCCAACAGCAGCGCCGCGTCTGCGTCGGGCCGGGCTGATGCGGCCGTCGAGGAGACGGTTGCGCCAGGCCCAGACGACGACGACGTAGAGGAGGGAAATGGCGACGGTGGGCCACCAGGACTGCATGAGCGGCAGGTGGTCGGTGCGCGAGTCGGGTCGGTCGGGCAGGAGGCGGAGACGGAGAGGGAGTTTCAGCTCCGCCAGCGGCGACTGCATGTTGGGCCTGTGGAGTCGGTGCGGCTGAGGTTGACGCGACGGCTCGACTGACCGCGACTTGACTGAACTGAACTGGACTGAACTGAACAATGCGTCAGTCAAGCCGTGATGTGTGGTCTGTCGGTCGATGGGTCGGTTGGTCGGTCGATGGGTCAGCCAGTCAGGCGGCAGCGGCAGCGGCGAGCCCAGGCGCCCGCTGATTGGTGCAGCCGATGTGGTGGCGTCTGTCTCGGTCTGGCGCCTTGCGCCTCGCTCGCCTGCACGCGGCGAGCCGAGGCCGCAGGGCCCACGTGTTGCACACGTGGCCGCCACCAGGTCTGGCCGTTGAGCTGACGAGACAGCCGACTTGATCCGGCTCACAGGCGGGTGAAATTAGCTGGGCGTAGGCGAAACGAAGAGGCAACCTCGCCTCCTGATTGGTCTATTCTGTCGACAGACAGACAGACAGGCAGAGGTGCCGGCCCCAAGAGGCACAGACACAGACAGAGGCGTGCGCCTGTCTGCTTTCGTCGGGCCTGCATGTACTGCCTGTGCTGCCCATCCGCTTCGGCGCGGACCTTCCCGGGCTTGTCGACGAACGAGCCTCTCCCACTTCACATACTCTCGCTCAAATGGGCCTCATTCAGAGCGAAGAATGACTGGAAATTGGCCAGAACTTGACGGGAAATTCAACAATCTGACCGCAACTTGGCGGCCACTTGAGCAGAACAATTCAGCCCAAACTAGGCGCTGCGTTGACCGCAAATTGGCCCGGATTTGACCATAATTTCATTCCAATTTGACCGTAAATGGACAGGAAATTGACGGAAATTCGGTCGAAACTCGGAGCTTGACAGTAACATGAAAACACAACCCTACAGCAATTTGGCTAAACTGCCACTCTATTACGCTAAACTATAAGTTGAACAGAACTGAACTAGAATTCACAAGGAAATAGATCGAATCTTGGCCGAAAGTAGACCGTCACTCGCCAGAAAATGTACACGAACTTGACCGTAAACTGTTCTGAACTCGACCAGAAATTGGATGAAACTAGAACGGAACTTGACACAATTTCACTTGACTGCAACTTAACCGAACTCGACCGAAGCTTGGTCGGAACTCGAGAGGCTCTCAAGCGGAATTTCACTGTTTCTCGAATTTGTCTGCTCTACAGCAGCTTGGCCCGAACTCGAAAGGAACTTTTTCTCAAATTGAGCCCAATTTGATTGTTAATCAAAATGACCTTGACCGCAATTTGACAGCAACTTAATTGTCCCTGTCCACAACGCTGTGAGAACTTGGCCGGAATTTAACCTAAGCTCCGCCGAAACTTAACCGGAACTCGACACGAACTTGACCGCAACTGAACCGCAACTTGACTGCAACTTGCCCGAAGCTCGAAGGAATCTGATCACACTTTGAACGCATCTTGACTGCAACTTGACTAGAACTCTTTGAGAATTCTATCTTCATATCGACTGGAATTTAATCGGACTCAACTAGGCCATGTTCGGCACTTGATAGATACACAAACCAACCCAAATTGCCTTCAACCGGTCGGCTTTAAGCATATCTCGTGTACAACTGGATCACAATATGTCCAGACATAGAGCAGTACCAACTGAGTCGGGTTTCACTCGGCACCCACAAAGCAATCAACTCAACTCATACAGGCCCCAACCCGATCGCCTCAATTAGATCTTGATCTTGATCAGATTCAGCCTATCCACAACCGACTTTTGCTTGGCATTCGAGACGAACTCGAACAAATTCAAACGAATCTCGCACGGGCTGCCTCGGGCGTTAGAGGCCTACGAGACTCCAAATCGCGAAAAGCGACCAGTATCCAAACGGCAAACTCTCGAGTGGGAGTGTATTACTCCAATTGCAGTCTCTGCAAAAGCTGCAAGACTTTGCAGACAGTGGAATTACTCTCTCCCATTGTGACGAAGGCCGAGGCGAACACGAATATGTTAATAACAATGATGATGATGATGACGAAGAGGAGGAGGAAGAGACTAAATTAAATAATAACATAAAAGATAAAATAAGATCTAAGAAAGAAGGGAAGCAAATAGTAAATTAAGAATGTATGAGAAAAGATAATCATATGAGAGTAAAGAGAGTAAACGAGAAGTAGATTAATTGAGTATGAGAGGAAAGTTGATAAGCGAAGTTGGCTAGTCGCATAATGAAGTAAACAATATAAAAAAAGGGGTAATATATATGAATACAATAATAGGGTAAATTGAGGAAAGAAGCCAAAGTTAAAATTAGATTGGAGAAGAACAGGACAGTTGAGGATAGAATAAAATAGAGAAGAACAGTAGAAAATGTAGAATAAGCCCTGGGGAAAAGAAGAAGATAGCAGAGAAGAGAACAAAACAGTTTCGATTGGGAGAGGAGAGAAGATAAAAGAAAAGAAGTGAAGCGAATAGAGGAGTGGAACCATATGAGGAAAAATATTAGAGAAAAAAGGGTATAAATGGGAATAATAATGGGAGGGAGGAGAAAGGAGGTAAGCAAAGGGCAGAGTAAGCAACGGAGCAGAAAAGTGAGAATAAAAATAGTTGGGAAAATTAGATGCGAAAAAATCATTAATAAGAAGGAGGACAGATGATGAAATAAACATACATGAATACGTGCATGCATACAGTTAATAAAGTAAATATAATAAAAGATAAAATGAGATACTAGAGTAGAACAGAAGGGAAAATAAGACTAAATGTTAAGCGAAAATTTGCGAAGAGAAGCAGATGGGACGTGCAGAGGAAAAAAGGAATAGGGAGATAATAACGAATGAAATGAGGAAGGGGGAAAGACGAACTAAGAAGCAGAGAGAGTATTAGTGATGAGAAAAGAAATAAATGGAAGAGTTGAGTTTGGGTTCAAATTGAAAGGAAGAGGTTAGTCCAGAAGTGAATAGAAGAAAAGCCAAAAGAAGTAAAGTTAATAGATTGATAGAGCTGAAAAAAGAAAAAAGCGAACTTCAAAAGGACATAATGCAACCTTATAGAACATAAATGGACAATGCAGAAGATATTAAAAAATTAATGATATTAGAATAAAAGAAATACAACGGAAGACACGTAAAATAATGGATCAGTATAGATAGAACAGATGACAGCCGAAGATGAGGAAACAAAAATTATTAGAATAAATGAAAACATAAAAATTGAGCAGAAAATTACAAAAGTGATCAGAAGAGAACAGTGAGATATATGATAGAAGATAATCTAAAAAAAGTGAAAAAAGGAGCTGCGAGAAAAGATATTATATGAAAATATAGGATAACAGAATAGTCAAAAAGAGAAAATAAAAGAAGAGAAGTGGAGAGAAAAGAGAAGATGAGAGACGATGCGTGAAGAGAGGTGAAGAGGAAATAAAAAATTAGAAAAAAAGAGAATCAGCAGGAAAAGAGAAGTTAAAAGAAGGGGAGATAAATGAAAATAAAATAAAATAAGGGAATATACGATAATATAGAAAGAGAAGCGATGAGAAGATAAAAGAGAAGAGATACAATGCGATGCGAATCACTCAACCTTGCAGAGTAACGAAAGGAATAAAAGAAAAAAGACATGAGGTAAGCTAGAAATAGATTGTAGATTAGAGCTGTACAGAAAAAATGCGATCAGGGCAATTCCCCTAACGAGCTTTAACCAGTCACCTTCGGTCGCCAGGGGCCCGTAGCGTTGGCTCGGAAGTTGAGCTTGAGACCACAAATCGTGAATAGTGGTCGGTACACAGATGACCAAAACTTGGTTGGGAGCTAAATTAACTTCTACTCCACTTACAGTCTCCACACAAACTTTGCAGCCCCTTACTCTGACCAACTGTATCAAAGGCGTGTCCCTCAGACGGGATCTAAACAACTATGGCGATTTTTAATTTGATGAGGATGATAGCGATAATGGTAACGATGGTGATGGTGATGGCGATGAGGCTAAATATGCCTCATGGAATAAGCGTACTGCCCTGATGGTAGAGTGAAAGCTTGCATGAGGGAATGCCATGACAACAGCTTTTATTGATTGTTTATGAAAACTTGAAAAAAAAAAAGTTTCTACTCAACAACATGTCAAATGAAGAGTGAAGTTGTGGCCATTTCTTGCATCTCATTATAATAATTTTGGTCGGCCAGGGCTAAAAGTGAAAGCCTGTACCGGACCGAAAATTCTAATTACTGCCCAAATTAGAATGGCGGCAGTGACGAATAATCCTTCGCTTTCATGTAAAAATAAGATCTTACCTCAATTTTTTGCTCTTCCCTTTGAGCACCAATTTGCCTGACTCGAACAGAAGTTGAAAGATTTGCCCATTTCCCCTTTTCGTGGAATGCATCTTCCTCATTTCTCACTTTCCCGTCTTTAAGCTTCGGTCTTCCAAAGCCCAGTCTGCTCTGCAAACTCAGGTTTTGCCATTTCTTCCAGTTGTTTGGTGATGGTGGCAACAGACGCGAAGCCGTTTTGGT